CGATTGTAACCTGAAAACCAACAACACTGATAATTCTGTTAGCAAATACTTACCAATACAAAATTGCTAAAAAGCAAAGGACATCTCAGCAAAAACCTTGTTTCTTCAGTGTTATTTTACGAATAAATCAGGTAACATTCCCTAATACTTGTAAACTCTTCTGACTGTAACCAAATTTTCAGAACTCAGAGATTCGAACACCACTTCGGAAATTCGCAAAATATACTTCATTTACCTAATTTATTTTGTTTTTATTAACGTAATCAACAATTTACGCAGAATTTTAGCATTCCACATGCAAAGAAACAACGAAATTTGATGAAAAATGCGTCTTCACTGAAACTGCTGAAAAACGCCTTTTTTCCACCGTTTCTATAAGTTTTTTCGCTAAATTATGGTATACATAATTCATTTCAGTTGAAAAAACACCTGGAAACAATGTAGAACAACCCAAACACGTTGGTTATCAGTGTGGGCCATGGTGCTATTGCGCACGTTGTGGGTGCCAGTGCTATTGACCGTGGGGAATGTGGGCTTACTTATACTGCCATTGTTGTTGTTGGCATGATTTGGGGTCATATTCATCTCTTTTTTACTAATGGACTTATGGCTAGGAGAGGACAGGGTCGACTTTCGGGGGATTTTGACTTTTTTCCGGGATTATTTGGTGACATGTCTATATCTACGGTGATAAGTGGTATAGTTTTATTGGCTATTTGATTACAATTTAGCGGCCTTTCGGTTGGTGTCGCTCTCTGAGAAGATAATTCTGTGTGGTTAGAGAGGGGTGGTGCGGTGGATTCTACGGTATCTCTCAAAGGGTTGGGTATAATTGCTGCTTGCAATGTCCTATTGTTTATTCCACAGTTAGACTCAGTGTGATAATTATATACGCGCCTTTCTATGACGGTCTTGTCCACCGCAACCTTTACTAGTTTATAATTTCTGGCTTGCAGTGGGGTGTGTTGGGAGTGGATAAATTTTCTGGCCTCAGCAGGTTTTCGAACTGAAAACGAATAGGAGAACACTTTTCATGTTGACTCTTCTTCAGCCTGTAGCACTTAGTCTTGGAGTTGGGAATTTTCGCCTCACTAAGTAGGATGCGCTGTACCCTTTTCAGTGCCTCATTGTCCGGAACGTTGTAGACAATAGCATTTAGTTTAGCATCTAGTCGTTTTGTTACTTCTGCAGTAACAAAGTTAATGAGGTTATCCACCTTAGATACCGATTCCGTGTCAAGTTCGTTAAGGTCTACAGTTCTCATGAGGATAGTTAAAGGTGTCGGTTCACAGACCTGCGATCTGATATCGCTGATCCGATCTAATAATTTGGATATTTTGGTATTGGTTTCAGAAATTCCAGGATTTACTGACTTATTGTTTTTTATTTCCCTTAACTCGGCCTTAAGTTCTCCTATAGACAACTTTAGAAGCTATTCATCAGAGATAGTCAAAAACGAAATTGATAAACTCTCTAATTAGGGCCCTCTGCAGGAAAAGTTTATAACCCACCTTTGCCAAATTAAGAGTTTTTAGCGGAGTTTCGGGCTGAGTACAGAGTCGATGTGGAAATAACCTACTTCATTTTCTCTGTACTTTCTGGATATTTCGAAATGTTACATCTCTTGGTATAACTACTGTGCATGCAGAATTGCTGAAAAGCATGCATTTTGATTTGATAATTTAAGTTACTGCAAATATGAAAACTTTTTGCATCTCTAGGCAGTATTCTTTGAATAATAGAAAAAGTGAACAAATTTTGTACTTTGTTCGGGCGGCCAGAATAAGCAATTGCGTTACTTACGAGCAAGATCATTTTCTCTGTATGTCTTTTACACCATTGTTTACATTATGTTTTGCATGTTATTCATAGAATTAATAATTTTAAATATAGTTGTAAGATACTGGCTCCTGAATAGTGTTGAACATTTAGTATGAATGAAGTAGTTCAATAAATTACCAGTATCAATATGTAGATTACTTAACGTGATGATTACTTTACTGTAACCACTGATCTTAAATTCATCTTCAAAATGACTGTTATTTGATTCCTGACGGTTGTTCTAATGACCCGATTTGCAACTACTAGCTCCTAGTCCATCTGTTTCATCCTGAGCAGTTGGGTATTATCACCAGCTATCACATGGCACGTAGTATTAACAAAGTTCATACAAAAACAAACACTCATTTATTATCTGTCCCTCCACCTAAACCTAACGAAATTTTAAAAAGCTGGTTAGAAGAAATCAGTAAAATCAAAGGATATGCAATATCTATTGGCTGTTATTAAGTAATTTAACATATAATACATCACTTTTTGTTATGGTATGCTTAATAGCTATTGAATCGCTTAAAAGTTCCTGGTGTCTGAAGTTTCCATGACTAAATTTTCCTTGGCAATGAGAAGGAAAAAATTTACCATTCACAAAACTCAAAATGATTTGCAGTATATATATACATCCTAACTGCCGAAACAGCACTCGCCTCACGGTCTGACATTTCACATACAGTTGCTATGTGCGCGTCTGTCAATCGGAAAGTTGTCATTATTTCGAATAGATGGAGTAGTTCCAAAAAGTTAAGATTAGTAACAAATGACTCTCGGTGTACGAACACTTAGCTACTATTTTACCAAAAGGTTATGCGACGATTTCAAGAACTAACAGTTTACAGGGGAGAAAAGTCAAAACGATTGTGTTTTCTTAGTAATCCTATAGAATTCAGTAATTTAGAAATGTATTATGGAGGTAGATTTGATGGGTAGGGAAATTCGTATTTCTAGACCAACAGTGTGTAAAGATTCAAAATTAAGAATAGGATGAATAATATATAAACCTGTTTTGACGTCTCTCAAACGGGAATCCAATTTTTAACATCGCTTTTACTTCGAGAATGCTACTGTAAATTGAAAGCATAGAGCGGTTTCATAAAGCAATTGTTTAGGTTCATTTGAGTATCCCGGTAGTATTTCAAACGAACTACGAGGTGTCGACTTGATTCTATGCTATGGCACATTCGACTTTATACTCAACTACTTAGATTATTGTCATTAGGGTGACTGCTATAAAATCATCTATTTTCGTCTTTATTTTTGCTTAGCTATTGGTCCTTGTCTGAAATATTAGTCTCAGTATGTCGTCTCAAGTTTCTTCACAAGTGTCCCTTCATTTTGATATTTGTCTTGATACTCCATATAAGTTTACTACTTACCGTGTTGACAAGGAGAGTATTAAATTGGTTTGATCAGAACCCTGGCTATGGACGCTTAATGTATCTCGAAAATCCGTATATATTTCGGTGTCAATTGTTTTTGAACAGCTTCGTTTTTTTTTTAAAAATGCGTTCCAGATGACTTTACTAGGCAACCAGGTAGCATTGTTGCCTGGTGTAGTTGTTGCTATCTCACTGTACTGTTATACTAGGCGGACCAGTTAGAGTTATGTGTAAATGTCAAGAGAAGCACTGTATCTAATCATATCTACAAACATTGACGTCGTCGTTAGGTGCAATTAAAGATGGGCTTAACCATCAGTTGAATGAACTCAACTAAGTGTATCATATACATATCGTAGTAATTACTGTTGAAATAAATACACGGGTTCTGACATTGACTTCCAAGAGAAGGGTTAGTCTGAACTCCAAATAATAAAGCCTAATAAGGCACATCAGTCGGATAAATTACCCTCTCCTTTCAAAGCCCTGCTCAGAGTCATTGTCATACCTATCATGAAAAAAAAACCTACGTAGTATGTGTGACAATCATCGAGGTACTAGCCTGTTACCAATCGCGTCAATGACTTTGAGCACTAATATATCTGACACGTTATTGGGAGCGTAATAAGCTCAATTGCAAGGCGCGACCTGGGGCTTATGTCGTGAATCCGTTGACTAAGCGTTCATTTTCCTCTAGTTTATAGACCACGTATAGCAAGGTGTTGGTATTAGGACCGTTTTTGGTGTTTTGAACAATACGTCTCTCTGGAATTATCCATCAGGGCTGGTTTTAATGTTATGCACACTACTATTTATAAAGCTGTATATCAAAATACCTGCCGTTATTTTGGATTTAGCACTGGGCTCACTCAACCACCCCCACTCGTCACTAACTGTGTCTTCCCCGACATTTCGGAGGTAGCTGTACAGAAAGTGCATACGAATGATGATGTAAACCGCTTGCACCGTTTAAGTGTAAAGTACTGTGCTATTATCCTAGTAAGGGAGCTGTTTGGAAGTCGAAGAGTTCGTGTATCTGGGTAGTTGTGTGAGTATTGGCAAAAGTCAGGATAGTGTATCAACGTTGGGTCACCTCCGGCGCTGTCATAATTTTAGTTTGATCGTCAAATGTAAAATCTACGATACCTGTCTTATGAATATATTACCTCGTGTATCCCAGGGAAGGATGTGTCGAAGCTCTGTATGTGATCATCGCAGTATTTGTTGGATTGCCTGAATCCAGTGGAGCGTGTTTTGGTATCGTGGATTTCATCTTTCCGCAAGTGACCATCTGTAGATACTGGCCTAAGTGGCATGAACATGTATTGTATATATTGTGCTGACAGCGTCACCGCGCACTAACCTTTGGACTGGTCGGGACTAACGCAGAGGTGGTCAGCTCATTAGATAGCATCGTAAGATGAAAGGCAGTCCTGTTGGATTGGCATATGTTGGTACACCAAAATTGTCTGAACAGTGCCTGAGACACCGTATGATTCCGGTTCAAGACGTTATTCAATGGAGTTCAGAATCTAAATCGATGGCGAACATACTGTATTTTCCTTGCTTTTCTTATTTCTGAAAGTAATATAAAGGAATGAATGCCTGTGTAAGCATCGTTCGTGTTTTGAGTAAAATAAATAAATGAACTCAGTCAACTAGCTATTAAAGCTTGTAAATAAACATTTTAGAGTCTTGTGCTTGTCATCTTTCTTAATTTGTATATCATTTATTCTGTTTTAGAATGCAAAGAAGTTTGGTAGAATGTTCGGTTGAAATAACTGAGATATGTCTAAACGCCCAGTGCGCTCACACACAATTTCGAAATCATGCAGAATACAAGTAAGTTTTGTCGAAAAATGTTATTCATGAACTTGATTCATCGCGAATTCAATGAAAAATTTCTAAAATTGATCATAATTGTTATCTTTTGATGTTAGCCTCATTAATATTATAAAAATTCTAATTATTGTACTTTCTAATATGTGAAGGCGTCTTTTTCTTCTGGAGGAATACACAGTGTGGTACGGAACATGACGAATAATGTTTTAAATCTTTATAGGAAGATTTGGCATCTTGTGAATGAAGTTTACGCATTGATATTAGCTGAATAAGCAGTGGAAGTAGAAATCATCAGTCGATTCCCCGGAAGCAAAAGTAAAAATTCTTAAATTCCATGGAAGAAGGTGTGCACACTCCTTGAGTTTTATTATGTGGACTAATGTTTCCCAAAGCAACAATCCATGGCGTGTAGTTCACTATGTTTCAAATTTTTCTTTTTGTGGTGTAACGATTCTTCTCTTCTGTTGTGATCAAATAAAAATAAGTGAATAAAAATTCCAGCATATAGATTTCAAAGATTTTGGGTTTTAGTAATCATTATATGAATTTCCCATCTGTCCGTCCTACATTCCCACTGTTTTTTCAGTTATATCTGTCACATTTGTCAATATTATTATTGATTTTTGGTTGTGTAATTGTGAGAGTTGCTCAGATCTATATATATGTACACATATTTGGGCATTTGAGCTACGTTTTTGCTTTTTTTCGTTATTCTTTTATTTCTTTTGTTAGCCTAATACTCAGGTTACGCTTGAAAGAGTAATTGGTTTTACATTAAGTAATAACTGTGCAGTCGCATTCTCTGATAAAACTGGTCTTATCGCTCATGCAGCTGGGTGAGTGTTAGTTTTTTTGTTAAAGATAATAGGTCACTGTGTCATATATATATATATATATATTGTGGTAGTGTGGTACACGGAATGTGTTTCAACAGAATATTATTCTCACATATTCCCACAGTTCAGTTCGGCATTAGCAACAGGATACTGTAGGTATTGGAACATTCTATTTCACGTCGTTTAATGTAAACCAGAATCACACATTCAGTGATTGGTTAAATAATATAAACTACATATATAAATAGCGGTTTGCTCAATTGAAAATATACCTTGGCTGCTGTATCTTGCCTTCCGTTGTTACACTTGGTGTCACTGCCTGCCGACAAATAAAAAGCCGATGTCCTGCAGTTTTTGAAGAAGGAGATATATGGATCTTCTTGCAGGACATCAAGGCTTTGGCGGAGTTGAATAGAGTTCGTGATCCGTCAGCGATGAGGCTTTTACTTGGAACGCTGCTGGGAAGTCGGGAGAAGGCAGCATGTGATAATGTGAGGCGAAATACCGCCGAATACGCGCCAGGGTCACGAAAACTGATTCCAAAGTGGGAAGCACCATACACGGTCACCGTGAGATGGGATCACGTACATATCATCAGAAATGCAAATAAAGAGAAATGGACACATCAAGATAAGCGAACAAAGACGCCAACACCAAGAAGATCGAATCGACTTCAGTCTCAAGTATTTGATGGGGTGCCGAGTGTGGTGATGTGATACAGAAAATGTGTTCCAACGGAATATTATTCTCACATATTCCCACAGTTCAATACTGCATTAGCAACAGAATACTATATTTATTTGAACATTCGATTTCACATCGTTTAGTGTAAACCAGAATCACACGCTCAGTGATTGGCTAAAGAATATATATGTATATATAGGGGTTTGTTCATTTGAAAATATACCTTGGCTTCTGTGTTTTGCCTTCTGCTGCTACAATATATTCTTTATCAATGTTGAGATGCAATTAATGGGTGATTGATTGTTCTTCTAACTGGAGTATTTCGCGAGGTGTATACTGGTGAAGAATCCCAAACGATGGGGATGAAACATTTGTCCAGTACTCTCTGCCGGTTTTCCAATGGGCCTCTGATTGATGTCAACTCGTGATCAATTCCTGTAACCAATCAAATCCCTGCAAGCCAACATTTGATAAATAGAATTTTGTTGATATAAGGAAAAAAATGATTGAATGAATGCTTTCCAAAATTTCGAAGATGGTGATTAGCATATATATCTGTTCTACGACAATCGATTTTGAGCGCTCTCACCGATATTCTCCCACGATTTATCTTTAGCCACAGGTACAGTGAAGAGTAACTTAGGACATCCTCCATTTGCATCTTTTAGTTTTATCCATTCTAGATTCTATTGTAATCTTTCAGCTAACGTCGCTTGTTGTGTTACAATGTTAGTGTTAGTTTAAGAGAGTTGAAATACTGCCCAGTTGCCCAGACCTAAGCAGGTGATTGTCTTAGGGGGGACGTCTTCAACCTCCACAAGGCAGCGGAGCAGCATCAGCATCTACGTTCCCATGGTTGCCAGTTACCAATAGAGGTTCATATGCCGCCATTCGATCCGTTTGGATTTTGGGGCCCATGTACACCATAGTAACTGTTTTTAGTTTAACCGCTATCCAAACAACCTTCCTGGTATGGTAGGACCTGCAGGAACATAAGTCTCAGCCAGTTTAGTTTGTTGGGTCACTGCTGTATGCAAGCGCAAACTCTGTGGCGAGGTAGCAGTTATCTGTCGGGGACAAAGTATCCTAGTACATACAATAATGCATCAGCCGCACCAACCGAAGCGATTCACTACTCCATCAATAGAAAAAACTTTCTTCACCCAGCATCAACATTACTCACTCTATGATTTCATCGTATCGGGGTTACGTCATAAAAGCATTATTGAATAAAAACGTGTATCGAACTCATGTCCTTCAGATTCACTACAGCTGCATATAACTAATTTAAGCTGTTATGTTCAAGAATTTAAACCACTAAAATAATTCATATTTTCATCTCCGAATATTAGATAGGTGTCAGTTAAACAACTAGGGAATGAGAGGTTTCACTTTCACAACTTGATAAGGGTTCTTATCATCATCAAGTAAAGACACACTTGAATTTGTTGTTAAAATATTATGATGTAATTGCTTCTTATTGATGTGTATAACTGACTCTCTACAGTTAGACTACACTTATAAATCCAGTTAACTTACATTATGTTGAATTTACCGTTCAGTTTATTGCGGGTTCACTTCTTACTTACCATTTATTGTGTAGAAATTTTCTACCCGTTTGAATGACTGTTTATTAGTAAGCTATAACGCATTTTCTATCTAAACCCTTAATTAATACATGAATATGTATTTGTTGTAATGCATTCTTATTTTTTTCATAGGTGTGTGACAGTTCTTCATTCATTTGAAAATGAACGCCAACAATTTATACAAAGTCAAAGTCGTAAAGCTATTACAGCAGTGGATTTTAGTTCAGATGGAAAATATTTAGCTACAGGAGAGGTGAGTAAATTATTGCGTCTACTATATATAAACAGAGATACTCTGTTGTGGTATGTAAGAATGTTCTTTTTTTAATTATCTCATTTTCGTGCCATATCATGAACAGACAGAGATGACTTCCATGCTATACTGACTATATATGCGTAAAATATTACCTTTGAGACTTGATGATCGTGAACTAAATCCTAAGTGGAGATTACTGATGAGTCCCAAATTAAAGCGAAAAGTTTATTTATTGTTTCCTAGTTTACGATTGTTTACCAGTTGCTGTAGTTTCAACTGTTTTATGTGTTTTATGTACTTCCTCTGAAGAGTATCAAACTAGGGCGAGAAAACTTTCCATTACTCTCTGGTTTACCTGCCTTGGTATGGGCAGTTTACTGCCTCCGGGTAGTATTTCAGACCTCGCACAAACGATGTTTTAGTATTTCAAAAGAATGCTTACTGAACAAAGAATACTCCTTTCGATAACCTCTCCTTCATCAGGTTCTACAGTTGTATATACATAGTGGTGTTATTCACAATATTAATGTTATTTAAATAACATCGAATCAATAATAATAATATCAATGGACTACATTTCGATAGTATCAGCATAACAATACACACTGAATATCCAAAAATTTAGCAAAAACAATAATACAAATTTATGAATTTATAGTCTCCACTGAAGGCCAGGGCAGTAGTATTGTGTGGAATTGCTTCTTCTGCACACAGAGCACTGGTTTTCTTCGGGAGAATCGCGATAGCCTCTGCTGTTTGGAGTATGCAGTACCCGAGATGATAGAGAAGGATTCTTCAATACTGGCTTTTTGGCCGGTTTAAACCAATATAATATCGAAATGTTGATGGTTTTTACTACACACTGGTGGATTTTCCCGAGTGTGCACGAAAAATCAAGTTCCTAGAGCAGCGGCCAGTATAACTCGCTCCGCAAGTGCAGTTGAATTGGTAGATACAATTAGAATCCTTCTCTATCATCTACTGGCTACCAAGTAAATTGCCAGAAACATCCAGGTACCGCATACTCCAAACAGTAAAGGCTACCGAGATTCGCATGAAACAAGCAGTGCTTTGTGTGCAAAAGAAGCAAGTCCCGCCAGCCACTACTACTGCTCTGCTCTTCACTGGAGACTATAAATTCATGAATTTGTATTAATATCTTTCCTAGTTTTTCTCATTTTCAGTAAAGTGTTATGTTGATGCTGTCGAACTGTAATCCACTGATATTATTAATATTGATTCTGTGTTATTTAAACAACATTAATATTGTTAATAACACCATTATGTATATATAACTATAGAACCTGATGATGAAGGAGAGGTTATCGAAAGGAGTATTCTTTGTTCAGTAAGCATTCTTTTGAAATATTAAAACATTGTTTGTGAGAGGTCTGGGATACTGTCCGGACGCGTATACCGAGGCAAGTAAACCAGGGACTGCTGGAAAGCAGGCTCACCCTAGTTTCGAACTCTTCAGAAGTAGTAAGCACCTGCCATCAGGGTTGAAACTCAGCACCGTCTGGTTACAAGGCAAGCTCGTAGACCATTCAGTCACTGGAAGATAGGCAGTCAGTCATTTCGCTACAACGTCATATCAAAAATATTCTCAAAACATCCTTCAGATTTTCTATACCTGGTTTGTAAGGATTAGTTTTGTTTTTACGAGTTGATCATGGACTGATATCAGTTAGAGAACCACCATTGAAAACCAGCACTGGAGTACTGCCAGAGAGCCACAGTTCGAACCCAGGACCTTCCGGTTACAAGGCTGAATGGTATACGAGCTTGCCCGGTAACTGGAAGGTCCTGGGTTCGAACCGTGGCGGTGGGTGCGTACTGCCGATGATTCCCAAACTAGGATGAAACAGCTGTCTGGCAGTACTCCAGTGCTGGTTTTCAATGGTGGTTCCTAACTGATATAGATTCTTCAGGTTAACTTCAAACATTGACTACTTTAATATTTCGTTCCAACCAGTTGACTCACTTTATGACTAGGAAATTTTAAGAGATGATCATAGGGATGAACACACGTGTAACTTTTTTTTCTTCATGTCCTACTGGTTGAATTCATAAAATGTCCACTCTCAATCACTTTTCATTTTCTGTTTATTTATTTTTTTGTATGTTCCACCATTTTTGTTTTACTTTTTACTGTGACATATCTACTACGTCAAAGGGAATCATGTGGACTATGTCAAATTAGATCAATGTACAGGTCGAATTATTTACCCTGGTGTGTATGTATTGTATACATTTTATCTAAACAAAATTATGATTCATGAAAAATGAAAAATCGCCTCATCGAAACAATAATAAAAACAAGACGACAAAGTAGTTCAGTGAAGAAGCTCTTTTCGGCAAATTCATTTTCTCCACCTTTAGCTGTACAATCTCATTTATGTAGAATTTCTTTTTCCATGAGGGAGTTAGAGAGACAGGGTAGTAGCAAAAGTGATGGTGAGTTGTCACAAACATAGTTTATTAATACTGGTCACTGCATACGAGAAGTTGAATGAGCTGTGATCAGGGTGCACATAGAAACAAAGGGAAATATGGAATTATGTAAGAGTTGTAAATAAATACAAGAGTTAGTTATAAGGAGTTAGAAAAAAAACAAGCAGACAAAAATCGTAAAAATCAACAAGGTTGTTACCGTGGTAATTAGTAGAAGCAGTTGAATAACTTTTTTTTTGTATGCACAGCTCCAGCTATTTTTAATTGATTGGCTAAGGCATCAGCAATGCAAAGGAGATGAAAGCGTACTGGTTTCGCTAGACTGTGTATCTTCACTTTATAGATTACTTTGAAGAAGTCATTTGTCGAGATGGAATGACCAGTGTTGACAAGATGTTCAACTATCGTACTCCTTATATGGGCCACTACTATCTGCAATCATGCGATTACGACTATGGGTTAATAACGGAAGGGAATTAATGTTTGTTGCATCAGAGATAGAATGGTGGAAGGCGATTTCGATTACTCTACTTGTTTTTATTAAGATCCTATAACGGTTGCATGATCATTATTCATGCTGGTTTGATTGTGTAAAATTGTGCTCATATTGTTTTATGTTTCATGATTTGGCTAACCAAGTTACAAGTTTAAATAGTTAGTAACACATAAAGTAAAAGTTGTGTAAAATTGAAAGGCAAGTTTGAAGCAGTTATCAATTTACTACGCATGCCTAGCTGTCGCCTTCCTCAGAGGTCAGTGTTAGCTAGCATAGGATCAGCTTGAGAAAGAGTTAGAGATGGTCAAAACAAAATATAAAATCAGTCAGTGAAATCCATAACAGTTAGTTTGAGCCAACCACGTAGGGAGGTGTAGGCTCCCTGGTTGGAGTCCTCGGGATGGCAGTAACTAATGGCTGGAGACAATTCATGTTATACCATATTACTGTTCTTTTTCCCTCCAACCTCTGTTTATTGTGTCTCTTTTGAATCTGTCATTACTCTCTTCTATTGCTTTGTGTGCTACATTAAGTGTGGCAGCTCGAACTGCTGTACATCTGTGCAAAGTTCTATGTTGAAACCAGTCAGTCAGTCAGGTAGACAAATACTCGCCGATGACCTTAGGACTGGAGGTTACTCTAAGATCATGAAATCTCAGAAGCTGGGATTCATGCGCTAGCCATTTATAGAAAAAGACAAAAAAGTGACAAATTGGTAAATGTGTTTTCAAGGGTTAGTTTGTAGGAGTTTTATTTATTTCAAGTTTATCCACGGTTTGATATTGGTTAGAAAACCACCATTGAAAACCAGCATGGAGTACCGGACGTCTGTTTCGTTTTAGTTTGAAACTCCTCATCAGTCTGCACACTCGTCACTCCACCGGGAATCAAACTCAAGGCCTTCAGATAACGCGACGAACTCGTTATTGTCCCGTATTGATATTCCTGTCTTTCTGTATTTGAAATAATTCACAGGCAACATTCTATTTGCCTATGTAATAGCGAAACAGGACAGTATTTGTTAGCGATACTGTTTGATGACAAATTGATGTAAAGACTTGACAAAATACATATACTTTACATTAAAGTGTATTTCCTTTCATGCTTTGTGTATTGTTTCACAAGGACCACTCATTTCTCCTCTTCTCAACGTAATCCGTTGCTCTGTTATTCAATATTCTTGTGGAAGATATGACATAGAATATATAACACTACTTAGAAAACCTTGTCAGGTGTTATTTTGCAATGATTTGATTTGTTTCAAGTTCTCCCATGGGTTGATATCAGTTAGAGAACTGCCATTAAAAACCAACAGGTAGTACTGGATAGCTAGCTGTCCCGCCCTAATTTGGTAGTGAGACCAAATACTCGCCGATGATATTGGCTGGCTGACTGGCCGGTGGTCTCTCTAAAATCTCCAATTAGGAAAAGTTAGAATTCATTCATGGGCTGACTGTTGAGTTGGGTTCCAGTGGCTGAATAAATGGTCCACCAGCTTGATTTGTAACCGGAAGATCCTGGGTTCGAACTCTGATGACGAGGCCAGAACCAGGACGAAACAGTTAGTTGTCCAGTACTCCCTGCTGGTTTTCAATACTGGTCAAACTTGATGAATTTATGGCGTTTCACTTGAAAACTTTGCGGGTTTTTAAAAAGAAAGTTTAGTCGTAAAATACAAATATAAACTGCAAACAACTGTTGCTATAAAAATAATAATCATTATGCTTTAGCCAATAATTACCAAACTTTTCAATAATATTCTTTCAGTTCAAGGATTTCTTTTTATTGATTGATTACTGAACATAAATGATTGTTATTATTATTATTTTGGCGTAAATCCTGAAAATAAAGTACAATTTTAAGGATAAACTGAAGTCAGAAAGAAGAATAAATTACGTTAAATTTTAAAGTTCATAAAGTGCAAAAAGGGATTTATAAAGTACACACACACACACACATTGTCATTAAGGTGAACAGAGAATAAAGTCAACTGATGACAATTGATGAAAACTGACAAAACGTTATTTTTATGTTAAGGTGACTATTG